CGCGCGCGCACACACACACACACACGCACACACACACACACACACACGAATACATCATAATCACTTCACAGCTATCCATTTCATCTGGTTGCCTGTTGATTGAAATTCCAATGCCATGTGTGACACCTTCGGAGGACATATCACACTGTCCTCCCACGCCGAAGGTCATAATTTAAAATCTGCTTGAGCACTGTGCAGCATCTTGCGCCACAAATAATGTTGGCTGACATGCAAATGCAACTTCAAACAGCACATTTTATCCACACTTGACACACAGTGGCATGCAGTACATACATGTAAATAACTCCTTTTTTTTTTTTGTTTTTTAAGTAATTGTTGACTGAGCTGTTCCAGCCAGCATCATTTATTGTATTGCTTTATCGTGGTGAATAAATTGGGCAGAGCACGATGGAGATGCAAAATTGCTGCCCGATAAAACAATGGCTCTTTGTTTCTAGTTATTTTTATCTTCAAACATGACAAAGAGCAGAATTGAAAAGCATCAGGTATTATTTTTAGTGTCTGTCACGCCACATGTTTTTTTGTCTTGATCCCAAACATTGGATAGTCCTTCATCTTTCCAGCTATTTTAGGAGATAACTAAAACAGTCTGCTGTTAATTACTAATATGAATCAGCAGTGGTTCAAAGTGAAATCACCATCCTGTGTCAAAAGAATATTAGCTTTATGGCTTTCTCCCATAACATCTTATATTATCTTCATGCTTCAGTGCACAATTTCTAACCATTATTCCTGTCCATGTAATCAATCGACCTGAAAGTCAGTGCAAGTGTGAGTGCGTGCATGTCTGTGTGCATGCATAAACCACCATTTCTCCATCTTGTCCTTCCATTCATCGGGAGGTAAGTCAGCATCCGTCTAACGGTGCTGAAACCACACCGTCCTTTATAAATACATTCATAGACTTGTTACACAAGATGGATGGGGATGGCTATATTTCCTTGTCGTCGTCACAACTCTTCAATCTTCCTGCTTAAGTGTATGTCAGCTAGCTGCAGAGCAAAGACAACGTAAACATTTCTGAATTGTTAACTGCAGAGGCAAAGAACTTCACCCGTCTGCAATGACAATTGTGGGAAGAATGGGATGGATTTTATTGAGACCGATGGTATTACATCATTTATATCAGCATATTTTATCAGCATATTATTTCAACACGTGCAATATCTCAAGGTTTGTACGGAATACATGGCAGGATCGATTTATCGACCACTCTTCTCACTTCATGATGGCCGAGTCACTATCTACTTTATAACAGCTGAATAATTGTTGCTAGATGAAACATTAATCACTGCAGTAGTTATCTTATGGTTATACAATAGATGGGTCTTCACACATTGGCCTGGTTAAATCTCATTTTTGTTGTTAATTTTGTTGTACATGCAAAAATAAAGAAATCAATTTCTTGAATAGGGTGGCCCGGTGATCGACTGGATTGATTCCGGCTGCGGCCTTCCTTCGTGGAGTTTGCATGTCCTCCCCGTGCCTGCGTGGGTTTTCTCCGGGTATTGCGGTTTCCTCCCACATTCCAAAAACATGCATGGCAGGTTAATGGAACAATCTAAATTGTCCCATTATGGTTGTTCGTCTCTGTGTGCCCTGCGATTGGCTGGCAACCAGTTCAGTGTGTAGCCCGCCTACTTCCCGAAGACAGCTGGGATAGCCCTCTAGCATGCCCCGTGACCCTTGCGAGAATAAGCAGATCAGAAAATGGATGGATGGATGGATGAATGGATGGATGGATATCTTGAATATTCTTTCGTACGAAGTGGTTGCAACATTTTTATTTGAAAATAAAGAAGAAGAAAATGACACAGAGGCTCATTTCATGATCATTTAACAGATTAATTGTAGCAAAAGCGCAGTAATTCAGACGTTTGATTTCATTCTCTTCTTCTCATGTAATATTTGTTGGTCCCTGAATCTGAGGGTTCCCATAAGTGAAATATTGCCTCGGTGAATATTTCATTTTGCTTGGGAAAACCAATTTTCATTCTTGCGATAACTTCCAAAGTACTGGATCGCTCATTTTATAGTCTTATTTTGATCCACATTAAAGTCAATAAATACCGCCATGGAGAATACTGCTAATTAACAATATGTATCCTCCTTATTTTGCAGCTATCTAGACAGTCTAGATCGTATTGGTGCTGCCGACTACCAGCCAACAGAGCAGGACATTTTGAGGACCCGGGTGAAGACTACGGGCATTGTGGAGACACACTTTACCTTCAAAAACCTCCACTTCAGGTATGAGTACAACTGAATCGCCAAGTGACTCATCGCACACACAAACACAGCAACTTCATGTCATATTTTCTGCACCTATGCTAATACTACCTTTAAATGCCTTTTTGGTATTGTAGTCTATAAAAATGAGTTCAGCATCCAAGATTATGATTGCTCTTCATTTGAAAAGAGATGTGAGTGAATTACAGCCTGGAGCTGTGCCAGTGAAGACGGATGACTTTAGTTTTCGAATTCAATTTGCCGATTTCATGCATGTGTGCCTAAAATCCGGGTGAACAGAGATGTAGACTCAGCAACTGCGCATGTTGCACAATCAAACGAAATGCACACGTTCCTTGCGTTTGGGGAATAAAAATGAGTCTACCTCCGTGAGCCGTCACCTTACCGTGGTAGAGGGGTTTGTGTGTCCCAATGATCTTAGGAGCTAAGTTGTCTGGGGCTTTTTGCCCCTGGCAGGGTCACCCATGGCAAACAGGTCCTCGGTGAGGGACCTGACAAAGCATGGCTCAAAAGCCCCTTATGATGACTGAAATGAATGGATCTCAGTTTCCCTTGCCCAGACGCGGGACACCGGGGCCCCCCTCTGGAGCCAGGCCTGTAGGTGTGGCTCGTTGGCGAGCGCCTGATGGCCGGGCCTACACCCATGGGGCCCGACCAGGCTCAGCCCCGAAGAGGCAACGTGGGTCCCCCTTCTCATGGGCTCACCACCCACGGGAGGGGCCAAAAGGGTCGGGTAAAGGCGGGGACCCTGGCGGTCCAATCCTCGGCTACAGAAGCTAGCTCTAGGGACGTGGAATGTCACCTCTCTTGCAGGGAAAGAGCCCGAGCTGGTGTGCAAGGTAGAGAGGTTCCAACTGGATATAGTCAGACTTGCCTCCACACACAGCCTGGGTTCTGGAACCAGTTTTCTCGAGAGGGGTTGGACTCTCTTCCACCCTGGAGTTTCCCACGGTGAGAGGCGTAGAGCAGGTGTGGGCATACTCATTGCCCCCCGGCTCAGTGCCTGTACCTTGGGGTTCACACCGGTAGACGAGAGAGTTGCCTCCCTCCGCCTTCGGGTGGGGGGGACGGGTCCTGACTGTTGTTTGTGCATATGCACCCAACAGCAGCTCAGTGTACCCACCCTTTTTGGAGTCCTTGGATGGTGTGCTGGAGAATACTCCTGCTGGGGACTCCCTTGTTCTGCTGGGGGACTTCAATGCCGACATGGGTAATGACAGTGAGACTTGGAATGGCGTGATTGGGAGGGGAGTGGTTGAAGTCACCGATGTGATTAAAAAGCTCCTCGGTGGCAAGGCCCCAGGGGTGGATGAGATCCCGGAGTTCCTCAAGGCTCTGGCTGTTGTGGGGCTGTCCTGGTTGACACACCTCTGCAACATTGCATGGTCAGAGTGCCTCTGGATTGGCAGCCCGGGGTGGTGGTCCCTCTTTTTAAAAAGGGGGACCGGAGGGTTTTTTTCGACTACAGAGGGATCACACTCCTCAGCCTCCCTGGTAAGGTCTATTCAGGGGTGCTGGAGAGGAGGGTCCGTCGGGAAGTCGAGCCTCAGATTGAGGGGGAGCAGTGTGGTTTTCGACCCAACCGTGGAACAGTGGACCAGCTCTACACCCTCAGCAGGGTCCTCGAGGGTACATGGGAACCAGTCTACATGTGCTTTGTGAACTTGGAGAAGGCGTTCGACCGTGTCCCTCAGGGAGTTCTGTGGGGGGTGCTTCGGGAGTATGGGGTACCGAACCCCCTGATACAGGCTGTTCGGTCCCTATACCACCATTGTCAGAGTTTGGTTCACATTGCCGGCAGTAAGTCGGAATCGTTTGCAGTGAGGGTTGGACTCCACCTAGGCTGCCCTTTGTCGCTGATTCTGTTCTTAACTTTGTTTGTCTGTCGTGGTAACGAAGGAGCTGAGCCAAAGGGCAAAGTTCTCAATTTACCGGTCGATCTACGTTCCAACCCTCATCTATGGTCATGAGCTAGGGGTCGTGACCAAAAGAACAAGTGGCCAAAATGAGTTTTCTCCGCAGGGTGTCCGGGCTCTCCCTTAGAGATAAGGTGAGAAGCTCGGTCATCCGGGAGGGGCTCAGAGTCGAGCCGCTTCTCCTCCACATCGAGAGGAGCCAGATGAGGTGGCTTGGGCATCTGATTATGATGCCTCCTGAATGCTTCCCTGGTGAGGTGTTCCGACAAGTCCCGCCGGCAGGAGGCCCGGGAACGACCCAGGACACGCTGGAGAGACTATATTACCCAGCTGGCCTGGGAACGCCTCGGAATCCACCGGGAAGCGCGAGAAGAAGTGGCCGGGAAGAGGGAAGTCTGGGCTTCCCTGCTAAAGCTGCTGCCCCCGCGACCCGACCCCAGATAAGCGGTAGAAAATGGATGGATGGATAGAAATGAGTCTCAAATAGTAGCCGAAATTTATTTACATGCAATCAGATCTTTTGCCAACATGAAGATATCAGAATGTTTGAAACATCTCCCAGCATGATGCAATGCAGTTCTGTACCCGTATTGAAGACCATTATGTTTAATCCATACCTCTCTGACAGTGTAAATCAAATTTGAGGATTTAAATCTGGAATTTAATACAACTGTTATATCGGACCTCATTAACCGTTTCATGCACCCTGTAACTTGATTACATGATAAGATGTCCACTGTAGTAAACGCTGTCCCTGAAAGGGCTAAAGGCTACTGTTTCTAATGTTGTGACCACTAACTGTACATCAACATAGCACACATTGCACGAATGTATGTTGTCAGATCCAAATGCTCAGTTATAACCCAAAGTTTTAATATTTAGGCAATAAACTCAAGCCAGTGCTGGACTGAGCGTGTTCTGTTGAGATGCCAAAATCGTTTTGGCTCAGTCGCTATTACGTGGCACTATGGCACTGAACGGCCAGCCTCAGTATTACCGGACTGATCTGGAGCCCATCAGCCTTCCTATCATTTTCTCCATGTAATATATAACCTGGTTGCATTCATTTCCTCTCTTGGAGGACACTCCCAACTGGACTCGAAGCATAAAATAGATGGGAGTGATCCTTCCCAAATTAGACTTCAGATAACATACTGCCTTATACAGCCCACATTCCATTACTGTCTCATGATTCAGAAGCGAGACAGCAATGTGAAATATCTTAAGTGGAACTTGAGTGTTACAATCGATGTTAAATAGCTCAGGAGGAGGTGGCGGAGTGGTTTGAGGGAGAGAATAGCCTAAACTCTCAATTAGGCATCCCCCCATACCACTGGTGTCAAACTCAAGGCCCGGGGGCCAGATGTGGCCCGCCACATCATTTTAAGTGGCCCACAAAAGCAAATCAAAGATGACAACTTCCATGATGCTTGCTAAAATCTGTACCAAAATTTCAAATTTTCATATATAATTAATCAGTGACATATTGTCAGCATTTTCTTGTTACCAAACCCCTCATAATTGAATAACACGTTATTCTTGACTTCTTTATATAGTTTCAGTCATAACGGCCATCCAAGGGAAACGGTAATTATAATGTGGCCCGTGACAAAAATTGGTTTGACACCCCTGCCCTATACGTTATCAGAATTACTTTCCCCGAGATTGTGCACATTAAAGTGGGCATTTCCACTTGACTCTCTGACCACAGAAAATAAACCAGTATCTAAAAAAAGAGGCACCCGCTGCTCCAAATGACATTAAGAATGCTAGCCTAAAGACCATTGTTATAGGTTTCTTCCAAAAGAAGCCCTGCCTCAGTTAATCGCATGTGTAGTTCCGTTGAAAAAGTAAAAGAAAACAAAAACTGATAAAAAAATGTCTTACTTCAAATAGACGTCTCATTTATTCCCCTCAGGAAAAAAATAACAATAAGTAGGGTAGATCCATAGCATCCCCAAGTAGCACACACAGTTAGGGGTGTTGGTTACAAAAAAAATGACTTTCATTCTTCAGCCGCAAGTGCCTGCTGCTGCTTTGTGGGGCAAAACTAGAACATCTCGCTTGTTTTTGTCTGCTTCAACCGAGCTGTTCGGGGACGTGCTTCCATCATATGTGGAAATCATGACATTTAAAAAATTGTTTCAGCTTCCATTTGCACTGCATTATTGGTAGGAACCAAATAAAAAAGGAGGCACAAATGTCAACCTCATGTAGGTACACATTCCATTCGTTTTGTGAAATGGAAGTAACAAACCAATCAAGGGACAGGAGCCAGGTGCATGTTGTGCCTCGTCAATTTCTGGGCACAAATAGACAAGCATTCAAACGCGCATTCACATTGATAGACATTTTTAAGTCTTCAATTAAGTTAACATACAAGCCGCGGTATCTGAAAATAAACAATAAAAACATCCAGTAAAGCCAGAAGTGAGATTCTGAACCAGGCCCTCAGAACATTGAAGAAGACTCATAAAAATCTATTTCAACATGCTACCTCAATTACCTTTAATGCCATATAATAAACATATCTCTCTTTCAATAAAATTGGTATTCAAAAAGATTTTTTGTTCAATACTCCTCTCCAATATTTGATTGAATACATTATATTAAAGCCGAGCTGTCAGACCCATCTGTCATGCAAAGTGACCAATAACTGAGCCTGATGATGTTTCGAAAGCTGCAAACATGGAAATGTTTCCATCCATCCATCAGGCTGTTTGATGTCGGAGGCCAGAGGTCAGAGAGGAAGAAGTGGATCCATTGTTTTGAAGACGTCACTGCCATCATTTTCTGCGTCGCACTCAGTGGATACGACCAGGTGTTGCACGAGGACGAGACCACGGTAAGGACGCACGCTCACCTGAGTGTCTCTCTCACTGTTTAGTGTGAATTACGCTTGATTTACACACTATATGGTTGAAGTGACCAAGTCACATCTTTTTCCCTCACGTGGCTCACATCGGATACTGCATGTGTCATAGCACCATAAGCCCAAAAATGCACCGATACCTTCGGTGCATTTTCAGAGCCAAATCAGACCACAAATACTGGATGTGAGAGGAAAAAACGGACACGAACTGAATATGAAATAGTGCAACTGCAGTCTAATCCAACAGATGGGATCCGTCCTGCCATTAAGAGGACTACATTGAAATGCATCTATCAGTGACCTATACCTAGCACTTACCCAAACAAAAGACCAATTACAGCACAAGCTCAGTGGTTACACAGACCATTAACCAGGGAAAAAAATGGCGACCAGTAGATTGATGCCTTTTATCTGCTATTATCATTATTGTACTTATTAATTGTTATTGTTTATATTATTTGGGAAAAAAAAGGTCAAGACCTGTTTTAACCCCACTATGATATTGTGGGTCAAATTGACCTATTCGGTGCTATACAGGAGACATGGCAAGGAGGAGATGGATTCAAGTTGGTTGACGGTATACTAGCCAATCAGGACACAATGCGGACGCTGAAAAAATACAGAAAGTCAATCCGGACACAAACGTATTGGGTTGTAAGCTGTAATTTTTTTTTTTTTTTTTTTTTTTTTTAAAGAAGCATGCAAAATTGCACTTGGGAAGAAAAAAAAATCTGAGCTTTTGCATGTCCATGAACGGTGAACCACAATATAGCGAGAGACCACCATATTGTGCATTTGTCATTCTCTGGTTTGACAAGGTACTTCTTGCTCCTAAAACGTGACATGTATTTGAATGAAATGGAACTTTTCACACTGCAGTGAAGGTTACTTTCGAAATACCTTCACAAATTTGTTCGACAAAACACTTGAAAGCTGTGCTCTACCTCTGAGGCGCAAAAAGTTGAGCCTTGACTGCATTTACATCATGTTGTCATACTGGAAGGGATTTATCATGTTTTGGTAATGGTATTTAACTACAAAGTACCTGAGGAGCAAGATTATTGTAGCTAAAGAGATCAGGCCAATAAGCAATGGATTATGGCCACCACAATGGATTGCTGTTTCGGAATTACAGACAATTCATGAGTATCTCCATTTTCACCTTAAAAAATTCATATTACAATATTTGAGTCGTTTTTTAAAATACCGGTAATTTGGCAGGCTACTGGGATACTGGTCAGCACGTCTGCCTCACAGTGAGGATCGTAGGATTCAAACACCATGACATCATCTGTCTGTAAAGTTTGTGTGGCTTTTCAGCATCTAATTGTACACTATATACATTACTCACAAAAAGTTTGGCATATATTCAGCTTGCAGGTAAAGTGAGTTAGTTCCTTGTTCGAAACCAGCAACTTGTGCAAAAAGTACTCAAACATTGAATAGTCACGCATGTGGATTCAAGAGTGTAGAGAAAGTCAAAAATAATAAATGTTCTATTACTTTCAAGTTTTGCCTTTGATTCAGCGGCAACCACTCCAGGGTGTACCCTACTTCTCAACCAAAGTCCTGATGGTAAAGCAGGGCTCTAGACGAGCTGTTTAGAACTGGTTGCACCACTGCACCCAATTTTTCTTCTTGGTTGCATCAGCACTAAAGTTAGGTGCATCAGAATTTTCAACCGCATCACATTCACCGCCGAAGCATCACAGGTTTAATCTTATGAAGAGGAAAAAATGTATTTTACACAATATTGACTGATGAACGAACAATCTGATCACCAAAGTTCTTTGTTTTAAGTACGGTACAAGACAGGATTTGGCTTGCAGCGTATTCGCTGCCATGAATGCAATGCTCACAGTCTTAGGAGCTGTCAGTATCGTCAATACACTTACCAGATACTCACCGATACGTCTTCACTTCTCCTTTTTGGCCGCTCTTGGAAGCTAGCTGTGTTGCGTACCTCTCGGTTCCGCAGAGCACAATTATATTGTCGCATATTGTTTTTATTTCACCACGTTGTGTGTGTGTGTGTGTGTGTGTGTGTGTGTGTGTGTGTGTGTGTGTGTGTGTGTGTGTGTGTGTGTGTGTGTCGGTCTTCTTGTCGCATGACATAGAGGTGCAATTGCATGTGTTTACCCATGCAAGTGAGTAGCCAGCCCTGTTGAGTGTTTAATGAAGTAAAAAAAAAACAAACAAAACAAAAAAAGCGCAAGGATATCATGCCAGAGCCAATCAGAGGACGTCCCGCCCTTCACTATCTCTGATTGGCTGAGGCCATGACATGCGTCTCCGTTTGAGCGAGGTTTGAGAGACGAGGAGACTTTTTCCATCCTCGATCGACAGATTGCACGTGGTGCAACCTCAGATTTTTTTCATTTGGACCGTAATGAAATTAGGGTGCCTGGGCACACAAATTGGGTGCGTCTTAGAGCCCTATTTAGACTCCGGTTACCCACAACCCTAATGAAGACAAGCTGTATTTTTTTTTTTTTTTTAATGGATAAATACAGGGACTTACTCTGCCTCAAACAAATTGAGCCCAGATATTGGAGCTATAGAGGCCCCCGGTTCGGCCTGCGACCGACAGTCGAAAATTTGGTTTTCCTTCTGTCTCGTCATTTTTGTGGTATAAACTAGAGTCTCACAATGTTGTTGACCATCAAGGCACTTATTAAATTTGGTATAATCATGGTACCATTGCAGTGCTACGGAATCAAAATGAGACCTAGCTTAAAATAAAAATGTATTGCAGCCTGCAACGCGCATGTCTGATACTGACTTTTTAACAAACTTCTGCCCTGATCAAATAGCATCCATTGACATGAGGGACAGAAGTTTTTTCATTCCCCAACCAACCATGTTTGGACCCGCCACCCACCACCCCCACCCACTGTGTATGCCCCCGCTGTACTCCATTGCCTAATCACAACATTTATGTTTTTGCAATGTTTTGTCAGAATCGTCAATGAAATGTTTTGGATCCCACAAAAAGAGAACAATGCAGGAACATGAAAAAATGTTTTTTTCTCAAAAACGTAGTGTATAAACACACATCTAAGCCTTTAATAGTTCACATTTGAATGCAAAGAACACCAAGAACAACAGATATTATTAAACATCCATTAAACTAGCACAAACATGTCAGGCTTACATTTCACTCTCAATTATAAATTTAAAGTGCAGTAACTCAGAACAGACAAATTAAGCCTAGCTTTCAAATTAAGAACAAAACGAGTAGATGCAGATTTCAAGTAAAAAGGTGATTAGGTCGACAGTACCTTTGAATAATGTGCAGTTGCACTGCGGCCTTTTTTTTAACGACCGAAACATCGCAAAATGCTTGGCTAGCTGGCGAGTTCTGGTCACCGGGTTCAGTGGATGTTTGGCCGCAGAATATGGCTTCTTTGTCTTGGAAGTGCTGCTTAATGTTATTAAAGCAACGCATGAGACGCGAGAGCTTTGAGCTGCCTTCTGGAAGAATAGAAAAGAACAAGTCTGTCCATTCATTTGGAAAAACTCTCTTTTGCGAGTCCGCTTTTAGAACCTTGGAGCAAGTCGCAAATCGCTTCCGGCAAACAGTTTGATTGGTTCATTGTGATCACTTGATCAAACAACAGGTGTACACTGTGATAGCAGCGCATGCGAGGAAAAAAAATGTGTATCATAACCCGTGCTCAGCCATTTGAAGACACCCATGATAAAGGAATAAGGACCTTAAAAAAAAAAAAAGACAATGGTAGACCAGGTCAGCCTGGAATTGGTCGACCGTTTTGGCGTTGTCCCGAATTTCCCAATTGCCAGTCCCCAATCCCCCTTCCCCGTTTGAATAAAATATACACTAACTGATTTTTTACATCAAACAACACGTGAAGTTATGGAAGGCCTTTGTCTTCGTGATGTCATGGCATGCTCATGCCCTAGGACAGGGATCGGCAACCCAAAATGTTGAAAGAGCCATACAGGACAAAAAAAACAAAAAACAAATATGTCTGGAGCCGCGAAAAAAATAAAAGCCTTCTATAAAACTTACAATGAAGGAAACACATGCTGTATGTATGTAGGAGACTGGACTGTTTCAGAATTGTTTATGTTATTCATTCCTTTGTTGTGTGTTCACAAACGCCCCCATAGAATTTATTTAGTGATTTCCTCGCTTGATTTTTTGTTTTGATGCATTATTTTTGCTTTTTCTTAGTGTCAGTGAAGTGATCATGAATTTCCGTTTTTCGGAGGCTGTCTTTGAACGCCTCTCGAGTTGAACGAGAAGAGAGAAGGCACGGAGTCGGACGTAGACGTGTCTGTGTTTGTCGAGACTGTTAAAAGCATAAATAAAGTGTACGTTTTAAAAAACCAACACCACAGCTCTCCTTTTTCGGAGCTGCAACATGTATCTCTATCTATTTGAGCTATATCAGCCGACTATCAAAATCTTTTTCCATTTTCAAACATTTTTTTATAAAGCTCCAGGGAGCCACTAGATGTCGCTAAAGAGCCGCATGCAGCTCTGGAGCCGCGTGTTGCCGACCCCCGCCCTAGGATGTCACTATTTACTTACATACCAAGGATGCAAGTGCTGGTAAATGTAGACATAGATGAGGTGGACGTGCAGACAACATACTGTGGTGTGCTCGAGAAGCTAATGTCATGTGCCTTCAAACAAAGGGGCTAATTTGAATATGATGCATGCTGGTTGATATTTATAGGCTTGACGTGTATCCGCTGAGAATTAGTGCTCTATTTACGCAGATGTCTTCATGCCTCCTTGTGAGTCGGGAGCGCCGCAAAGTCTCCTCTTGTGTGATGGGCTGATGTTGACAATTGCAATCTCTGCAGATGTCAACCACTGTGCTATTTTTTATTGATTATATATTTTTTAACATGACTGCAATCATGTTGGATAGAAGACAATGTGTTTTCGCCATCTGCCACCATCTCCCCACTTGTCACTAACCTTCTCCAACATGAGATCAGGCGCTTACTTCTTGTCTCAAATTGTCCAGTAATGAAAAACAACCGCACAGGGACAGTTTGTTTCAATTCCCAGCAACCTCACCTCAGCAGCTCCGCGTGCGGTGCAGCACCTACAATGCTTTAATTAAGCATGTGGTTACCCATGAGACTGATATATGGCACAGTTTGCTTTAATGAGACAGGGTGCTGATCAAAGAGGTGTAATTATTAAAGAACAAGCACTCGTGTGAATTTATAATGATAGCACGAGGAAAAGAACTGGGATGCTCTGCTTCACTCACATCTTTACCAGACACCTCCATGTGCTGTATTTTGGGAGGAAGAAAGCTATTCCGGGGGTGGCGTAAACACAACACCACGCCACTCGGGGAGAGTCTCAAAGATATTTGAGGTGCAGAGAACAACATATTTCACTTTTGCTTTGCTTCCTTTTTGAAGTACGTGCAAAATAGGATTTCAGTGGTCATAGAAAGAAGTTACTCTTCTCCTTTGGGTGAAGCAGAACATGAAAGGGAAGAAGATGCCTGTTTCACTTCCTCACAGTCTAAAGTTTTGTTGCAAACGTTTATACCTCTCCTGGTGGAGTTGGGTCGTTGAAATGCCAATTGTATTTTTGGTAGAGCATTTTTGGGTGGAATGGGAGGATTTATAAAGGGTCGTAAAAATGCATCCACACTCAAAGGAAAGTGTTTAAAACGAAACACCCATTTATTAAGTTATATGCAGATTTGTAACTTTTGATTGAGCACCTTTTTTCTCATTCAGTGGCAACAACCATGTAAATTGGGGTGAATGGGATATTTTTAACCCTTTCAGGGACAGCGGTTGCGACAGTGGACAGCTGATCATGTTATCCGAATGCAGGGTGCATGAAAGGGTTAAACTTACATTTTAATCAATCTGTCAAATGCTTGGAAAAAAAGATACTCTGTGCACAATAAAATGGCAGGATCTTTTTTTTTTTAAATCTTATTTTTTTATATGTTGAGATCATTTTGGAAAAGAGGCTTAATTTGTTTTCCTCTGTGTTGGATGTATGATGTATATATAGTCTCTCCTTAGACACACCCACACACCCACACACACACACATATATACATACACACAGATGTTCTTCTCTTTATTCCCATCTTGCTGTTGAAGACAAACTCTTCACTTTGACAAGCAGCCGCACACATTCACAGGCATTCTTGCTGTCCTTCGATGTGACAGCTGCTTTAGGGGAACTGTTTTCCTGCCTCTTTTCAGTCTCAGATGTAGAGGTGCCTGTGTACGTCATGTGAGTTTGTGTATGAGGCTGTGTCCCGGGGAAGTGTGTCCCTTGCGTTTTCGCTTCCTGCTTTTGAGCTCCACCTCGCATCATCTTTGGTACCTTCCACTTCACCTGTCACTCTCACCCTCGGCCGTCCTGTCTAAGCAATGAGCATTCAGATGTTCCACAGATGCTCCACCCACCAACAGGTATGAGACCTTTGGAAAAGCGGATATGCTTGGCATGATTTCCGTGCGTTTGTGTGTTTATTGCATGCTCTCTCTTGCACTATATCTACTATCCTTGACAGTCCGCATTTAGGTTTACTAGGCGTGTGTGTGTGTGTGTGTGTGTGTGTGTGTGTGTGTGTGTGTGTGTGTGTGCGTGTGTGCGTGTGTGTGTGTGTGCGTGTGCGTGCGTGTGTGCGTGCGTGCATGTATATATATATATGTATATATATATATGTAAGGTATATATGCATGTATGTATGTGTATTTATATAAAAGGAGTTTTCGTTATTATAGGCCCATATTTTCATGCATGTGTTCCTCTTGCTAATCTAACAGTGTCTCGAATTTGGAACTTTGCAGTATTATTATTCCAGCATGTATTTAAATACTCGTTGGGTGTTTTCATTGCACTCATTTTCAAACGGGTTTCCATTACAGAAAAAACACACAGTTTGCCACAAGTGGTGTGATCCTTGGCATCATACAATTAGACTGGTTCGTGACTGAAGGATAAAACGCTAACAATGCATGGCTTTGATTGTCACACGTTAATTATATAATCACGTAATTCACTTTACACTGTTTTCCTGATGTTTTTTGTTTTGTTTTTTGTTGTTGTTGTTGCTGTTGAGTTTTTTTGGTTTGTTTGTTTTTTGCATGCACAGATTTCCATTTGCTGGATGACTCTTTGGGTTACATGTCTGACTCTATGAGTCATGCATAAAACAACCTGTAAAAAATGTTTAATGTCTCCTGCAGAATCGCATGCACGAGTCTCTGAAGATGTTTGATTCCATCAGTAACAGCAAGTGGTTTGAAGAGACCTCCATCATTCTCTTCCTGAACAAAAAGGACATTTTTGAAAACAAAATCAGCAAGTCGCCATTGTCCATCTGCTTCCCTGAATACACTGGTATGTCCACAAAAATATATAATTCTATAATTCCCTTCACGTCACTTTAGTCTGTTTCTCACTTTGAATGAGACACTAGAATTACAATGTTTTTTCACTTTTATTAATTCCTGAATCTGTTCAATTAAAACTGCGGGAGTGACGCCATTAAATTAGGATCTACAGTACTGCTTTGAGACACAACACTGACTCATTCATTTCAACACATATGGTTTGATTTTAACTGCAATTACATAAACACTTAAAACACCAAAGTAATTTGGATGCAGAAACAGCCGTGACGTGGAAGTTGCCAATAAAAGTTTTGAGCTATGAAAATACAGTTACCTACAGAGAGCAGGGCTGGATGCAGCTGACTCGAAAGTGATCTGACGCTTGCACTCATTGTAACTGAGTAATCCACGTTTAAATACTGGGAGACATCAAGCATATATGACATAATAAAGGGAACACAATGAAGGCCCACAGTTCCTGCATAGCAAGTGATACATCAAGGAACCAACAGTCACAACACAACTACTGTTATTTGCCCCAGCTGAAAGGTCACTGTCCAGACACATGACAAATACACATTATTCACATTTCTCATGATAAATTGCCTTGCATTGCTAAACTAGTATGACATGACGAACACAACACTGACCAGTTTTTCTGGAATGTATATTACATATATTAGTGTGTGTGTGTGTGTGTGTGTGTGTGTGTGTGTGTGTGTGTGTGTGTGTGTGTGTGTGTGTGTGTGTGTGTGCGTGCGTGCATAATATGTCAAGATGCTCAAAAGATAATTGTTACTGCTGCATCCTGCGTTAATGAAAAACACTGCAAGTAGTAGTTTTTTGTAGCTCCAAAAGATTGACTGACCCAAGAAATAGGTGACCAATATTTTGACTGACAATTGTATCCATGTTACACTTAAACCAAAAACTGATCATTAGTGTCACTGCATGCATGCAATTCATGAATGTAATGAGTGACCAATACTGGCTGCAGCATGCTCATAGTTGCCGGTGATGAATAGAGAGCAGCTGACAGGCTCATATTGAAGAGATGCAACGGGAGCAAAGACAATCGGGAAAACAAACAAACAGAAAGTGTGAAAGATAGAGAACATGTGTGCAATTGGGAAAACAGCAGAACCAAGTCCAGAGAGCAAGATTGCGGGAACACAGTGTCAAGAGGCACCCGAACAGCATAAACTGTGAGAAAGAGAACATTCACATTCCAATCATTCCCGCTTCCTTTCTTCATCTTCTGGCATGGAAGGACCCCGCGCATGTTCTGATGGTGTTGCAACTGAAGCAGACAGGCCCGCCGCGGTGCTGCCAAAGATATGTTAGTGACACTTGGCCCACAGATGACTCCACTCACCACCATCTGGCTCGATCGAAAAGCATTTTAACAAGTGAAAAGCTGCAAATCCAGTCCTTGCCTTATTGACTGTCACAGTCGATTATGGATGTGGACCACAGGCCATGCACTAGATTTGTGAAATGAATCAATACGTGCTGTGAATTACGGTTGCTGCCTTTGAGCTCTCGTTCATTTGCGGCCGTCCAAGACTGTGGTGCCAAAAATAACGCATCAATGGTGGTCGAATTTTAGAATAAAACCCCTCCTTTTGCATTTGCTGCAGGGATCCTCAAAGCATATTAGTAGAATGTAACGTGCAGAATGTGTTTATCAGTACATCATGCTGAGACTGTTTGGTTTCAAAAAAAAGACTGAATAGAAACAAAGTCAATCTTAAAATAGCTTTCATGACTCCAACGCTTTCATAACCATAATAATGATGCCATATCTCTGTCGTCTCTGTCTCCATAGGGCCAAACACGTATGTGGAAGGAATCTCCTTTATTACTTCTCAGTTCAAGAGCAAGAACAAGTCATCAAATAAGGAGGTTTACTCCCATGTGACCTGCGCAACCGACACGAAAAACATGCAGTTTGTCTTTGATGCTGCAAGTAATGTCATCATCACCGACAGCCTCCGCCGCTCTGGTCTAGCCTGATGATGTCACGACTTCGAGACCACCTCATATTAAGCGGGTTTTGGGTTCAATCCAAATACATGTACCGTATTTTCCGCACTATAGGGCGCACCAAAAATCTTCCATTTTCTTAAAAGCTCACCGCGCACCTTAAAATCCGGTGCGTCTTGTGTATGGTCATTCTGGTAATATGTCGACCCCCAAGATGGCTCCTTGCTGGAGACATGCTTACAATGTTATAACTTGCTGTTGGTTCAGTGAACTGTGTCGCTGCTTTATTAAATAAGTTTTTGTTGCGGCTCCAAAAAAAGGAGAGCTGTGGTGTTGTTTTTTTTAAAACAGTCTCAACAAATGCAGGTACGTCTTTGTCCGTCTCCATGCCTTCTTCAGTTCGACTCGAGAGGCGTTCAAGACCGCCTCCGAAAAACGTAAACTAACGATTACTTCAATGAAACTACGAAAATTGATAATAATACATCAAAACTGAAAAGCAAGCGAGGATATCACAAAATAAATTCTATAGCCACCCCCCCCTACAGAATTTATATTGTGATTTCATCATTTGTGAATACACAACAAAGGAACAAATAACTACGACTGACATCTGATAGTTCTGTTGGCGCTATGATCAAGGAAATGCCACTGCGTTTTTTCGGAGGCGGTCATGAACGCCTCTCGAGTTGAACGAAAGAAGAGAAGGCACGGAGGCGGACAAAGACGCACCTGTATTTGTTGAAAAAAGGAGCTGTGTTTTTGTTTGTTTTTTTAAACGCAGACTTTATTAATGGTTTTCACAGTCTCAACAAATACAGGTACTGTACGTCTTTGTCCGTCTTCGTGCCTTCTCTTCTTCCGTTCCACTCGAGAGGCGTTCATGGCCACCTCCGAAAAACGAAAATTAATGATTACTTCAATGAAACTACGAAGAAAATCAAGCGAGGAAATCACAAAATAAATTCTGTAAGGGGGATATAGAATTTATTTTGTGATTTCCTCGTTTGATTTTCTGTGTTGATACATTATTTTCAATTTTCGTAGTTTCATTTAAGTACAGTAATGCTTAATTTACGTTTTTCAGAGGCGGTCATGAACATCTCTCGAGTTGAACGGACGCCTCTCGAGTTGAATGGAAGGAGCGTAGCACCATCTAGTGGAGGCATTGTAGATTGCGCTTTATAATGCGATGCGTCCAATGTATGAAAAAAAATTTCCAAAATAGCCATTCATTGAAGGTGCGCCTCATAATCCAGTGCGCCTTTTAGTGCAGAGAAGCGGAAAATACAGTACCTATTTCAGTAAATTGAACCTGGGAGGGAATGTGAGTGTGCTTGATAGCATGGATGGCTGGATGGATGGACCCTGAAGGTTGCCTGTGATATCATCGTCTGATAGCCCCATGATGTTCTCAAACTCCTGGATATTGTTCCAAATTGAGTCCGAATGGATTAGAGAAACTTGTTGGCTGCACGATGAAGTGATTTGTTGACTATTTGACTGTCTTTTTTGTGTCAGTACTATAAAATACACCAGGTGTCGGGAACCTATGGCTCGCAAGTCAGGTGTGGCTCTTTTGATGATTGCATCTGGCTCGCAGATAAAACAAAATATTCTCGCTTGTTTAATCCATGCATCGATTTTTCACTGCTCATGTCCTGTTCAGGGCTGCAGTTGGTGGCAGGAGCAATTTTAATTGGATCATACTGGCCTAAGTTGGCCGTTGCTGGGTAACAGGTAAACGCCCCCTTTTGAATCAGCCCGCTCGGTCATTAGCTCAAATGTTCGACGAATAAGATGGCAAAAAGAAAAAAAGATGACGAGTATTGTTCACTTCAGGACGAATGGACCGAAGGATTCGCCTTTGTGGAGAGATCAGGTTCTGCGGTGTGTCTAATTTGCAATGACAAAATACCATCGATGAAACGGTCGAATGTAAAAGGGCACTTTGACACGTGCCATGCTACGTTCGCATCAAAATACCCTGCGGGAGACAACGGAAAGGAAGCGAGCAAGCAACTGAGCAGGCTGCAAGCTAGCCTGCAGCAACTCCGCATATGGACCCGGCAAGATGACTATAATTCCGCTATCTTTGCTGGATCTTAAGCAATCGTGAGGAACGGAAAACCATTCACATGAATGGTGAGTATAACAACAAAAATCTTACGTTGAAAAAAATTTACATTCAGAGGCTTATTATTCTGACATTTTGTTGAATTCACTTTTAAAATATTTTGCTTTCATGGCTCTCTTAGTCAAAAAGGTTCCCGACCCCTGATATACACAATTTAAAATCTATTTCACATCAATTTATTCTTAGTTTAAATTGCTATTTTATGTCAATTAGTTTTTTTGGGAGGGGTTTTTGCACTGGATGAAAGGCATCTTTATTGTTGCACATTGTACTTGGGGGAACTATTGTCTTTTTGCTGGGGCCTACATTAAACTAGTCAAGACTCAAGCTTGAGATGTAGTGTGCTGACTCAGTCTGACACTTCTCAGAGGGTGCTTCAGTGGAACAGTTGACTTGATAGGGTCACCGGGGGCTTCTTCTACCATTATTGGGTGCTGCTGCACGTGTTTGTTTCTTTATTGTCCGTCCGTAACTGTGCCCTCATAAGTCAAACTTGAGCTGTGAAAAATAAAAGCATTGTGTTTGTGTGGTTCCATTGTCAACTGGGACTGCAGTTTCCACCCGTAGTTTGGAGCAGCTTGCTCATGTTGCTTCCTTCCCTGCCTACTGAAAAAATTGCATGAGATTAGAGAGTCAATTAAAGAGACCAGGGTACTTAACATGAACCCTTTCATGTACACTGTAACCTGATAACATGATAAGCTGTCCAGTGTAGTAACCATGGTCCCTGAAAGGGTTAACATACATGCAACATCAACAGTATAGTTTATAATCTTTAGTTCTCTATTCATTTTACTTAAAATGATCATACAGAAAATAAATTAGCCTTGGATGTTCGCGAAAAAAGCATGTCTGCTTAGATCCAAATTGTTATTTTAAGAACCAGGTAGATGACGTCTCCCATTTCCATTTATGGCGCGTCCTAATTAGACACCGAGCTGCCTCAGGCTGTTGATCAACCTGCTTTGCGCATGTGTTTGTGGTCTGAGTCCTGAGTGTGCGTCGATGGTATAGGGAAGGGTGTGTGTGCTTTTGCGTGGGTGTGTATGTGCCCGTGATTGCAAAGCACTAGAAAGTGTTGTGTCAAAGACACCATGAGCCCATGGGTGGAGCCAGTATGAGGGGATTAATGATCCACAAGGCACTCACTGGTCCACCCCTTTCCACACCCACTGGCTGTCAGCACATCAAGCCATGAACACAGCTACGTGGTTTCAAAATGTCAAAACAATGTTTGTGATATTAGAAAAAAAAAATCAAGAAATCAAGATCTGGAATACTTAATTTCATGTACAATGCAAAAGTCGGATTACCCTGTCGCCTTTGTAATCGATGGTGTAAGGCACGTGCACTGCCTTTGAAATGTGAGCAGGAATTGCAATTTGTTTTTGTGCATGCAGCTCCTCCTCATTTTGTATGTGCAGCTGTTGTTATTGTGTAGTCAGGTGTTGGCTTCAGTTTTTGTTCTGTGGTTCATTTTGTGTAGCTGCACAGCTCTTATTTTCCCTTTCTATGTTTTAAATGCCTGAAAGGCTAAATCACTAAATGTGAGTCAGTAACATTTTCATGCCTACATTTATATTTTTTCATGGGAGGCAACCCACTTCTTTAACTTTGCCTCATTTTACTTTGTTTGTCTGAAGCTCGACCAATACGTCCGTTAATGTTTCTTCTGTACGGATACTTGGCATGGTACATGTAATACATTCATAAAATTAGATGGGGCCAACATGTTGAGAATAAATATTGGACACTTTTGCTGTGATGTTACAGTACAGTTTATATTTTTACATTTGTTTATTCTGTTATTTATCGACGTATGTTTGAACAGTCTGTGAGGTAAAAATCGCAAAAGGTTATGACTGGGTTTTATCGACTTGTTGCGGAGACCCTCGGCTTCACAGGACCTGAAATGCTGATCATGGCCCATTCTGGAATATTTTTAGATTTACAAGCAGATTGTCCCATCGGAAACACAGTAATTGACATCGAATTCCTCCTTTCCAATGTTAAACCGTCCAATGCCTTATTAATTGTACAGGCAATGTTTTAATTTATATTTTTATATAATAACTGTCATAACTGTCATTTCACAAATCCATACAAGACGGAACACACCTGAGAATGGGAATTTCAGTATTTTCAGGGTTGGGTAACTGGCAGCCCGCAGGCAGCATGCAGCGCTCAACCTCACTCTGAGGGCTTTATTTTGTAGCGCAAAGCTGTGTGGAGTGGAGTTCTCTTTCTTTTGGTATTTTGTTAGATGTTGCACAGGTGGAATTGGGCGTAACGGGGCATTTGCGCCATTGTGCACCTTTGTGGGATGGAACGTAGATGAGTGCCAGCCAATCATAGCAACATGCCTCATTTGCATTCAAATCAGGACATTCGGAGGGCACGCCGCGCTTGACATTATGGAAAAGGAGATGGACTCGCTGGTGTCCGTGCATGACATTTGCATTCGCAAATTACGTGGTAAATTGCAAGATCTCCCCTTGCGGATGATATAATCACCCGCGTATGTGATGTGGGCAATAGGAGACCGCCTTGCAGCCACGACGGTGCGTCCGTGTTTGGTCCGCGGAGAACTGAATCTGTCCGGCTTCGCCTCTATCAAATACACCAAAATTGCGTTGCGTCAACTGCACTATCATTGAGACCTGCTTTTAGATCGGGAAAAAAAATGTTGGCCGCCTACAGCATTTAAGTTGCGCATCCCTGGTCTTGTTGCTAAAACAAAACTACTTCCAAAGAATGTAACCATTAAAGTTAATTCAAAGAACTATCCAAATATACAATATCTTTCACAGGGGTGTGCAAACTAAGTCCTCAAGGGCCGACGTCCTGCCTGTTTCCCATCTCTCCCTGCTGCAACACACCTGATTCAAATGATCAGGATCGTTATCTTGTTTCTTCCGAGTTTGCTGATGAGCTGATCCTGATCCATTTCTATTAAAGTTATTACCAAAAATGTCGTTCACAAGTTTTTTGTTTCTTTTTAATTGAACAGATTTCAATTTAAAAATATGACCGTTGCCTAACAGTGAGGATCTCATTTTGGCATGTTTAAAGCTTTGCTGTGTTGAGTTTACATGTTTTCCCTGTGCTTGTAGGGGTTCTCTCTGGATAATCCAGCTTCCTCACGAAGTCCAAAAGCATGTATGTTGGGCTCAGTAAAGACTCAGAATTTCCATAGGTTTGAATGTGAATGGTTGTCAGTCCTGTGATTGACTGGTGATGAGTTCACGGTCTCTCGACTTAAATCAGATGGGAGTGCTTCCCAAGCATCTCTACCAGATATGTCATATTTTGCGTGGGCTCTTGCTGTTTAGTCCTTCACAATTGTTCCAATTAGCCCTTTGGGACGAAGTACACTTCAGCGGGGTGAGTATTTGCCAATAAGTCATCCTTGCTCTTGTCGCTCTCATGAAACCTTTCTACTCTCTCGCATCTGCTTGTAGCAAATTGGGTACATGAGTGCCTTACTTTATCAAGAAGTGCAATTAAAGCACAAAGCTCCTCATACTGCAGTTATGATTATTAAGCTGACCACCACTAATAATGTATCCCTTGTGATGTCATTTGTTGACATTGTATTGAAAAAGTATTGAAATGCAAATAAAGCATACCTTGAGTAACTTGATATGTGTGAAGGCCATTTGTGGATGAAAAAAAACTGACAATTGCAGAAAGAATGTCTTCAATGGACCCTCATGTCATATTGATTTGTTTATTTGTGCTTCATTCCAAAAAGATTTGCAATACTTGTCTTTCATTTTCCTACAGATCTTTTTTCGTGTGGAAAACTCAACATTCTCACCCCTTCCCGCTCTCTTTCCACAGAATCGCATGCATGAGTCTCTGATGCTGTTTGACTCAATCTGCAACAACAAATTCTTCATCGATACCTCCATCATCCTCTTTCTCAACAAGAAAGATTTGTTTGCCGAGAAGATCAAGAAGTCAGCGCTCAGCATCTGTTTCCCTGAGTACACAGGTGAGACGCATCTCTGCCAAATGCATGAAGGTGGAGGAGACCAGCAACCAACAAAGTGCACAGGTTGCCGTCTCATAAAAACTACACGACTGTAAATTGTCGTTCAGTAGATGGATGGATGGTTGGATACTGTTTTCATCCTCAAGGTCAATTTATTCAGTCGCGGTGCATATGCTGGTATTCTTTATGCATACAGGCGACTGTTTTATTGTCGCAATGGTCTTTTTTTTTTTTTGACAAAGCCCATTTGCAAATTTTGAGATGGTTAGGCTCCAAAAGGTTTGTATGTCACCTCATTTCACTAATGCCCCCACCCAAAAAAATATTAAAAAGCAGATGCTAAAAAAAGAGCATTTTGTGCCCATTCTATAAGTCAGAGGTGGCAAACTCATTTTTGTCGCGGGACAGATTTTAGTTACCGTTTCACTTGGAGGGCCGTTATGACTGAAACCATATAAAGAAGTCAAGAATAAAATAGAATATGTTGATTCAACTATTGTTTAAGTTACTATCATGAGGGGTTGAGTAACAAGGAAATGCTTCGAATATATCTCTTATTTATTCCATATTAGAATTAAAAATTTTGGTCGACATTTTAAAAAGGATCATGTAAGTTGACATGTTTGAGCTACTTTCGCGGGCCACATCAAATGATGTGGCGGGCCAGATCTGGCCCCCGGGCCTTGAGTTTGACACCTGCGCTGTAAGTGAACACAGCCGACTTGATTTGCTGCCGATCAAAGTGGCTCCTCTCATTCCCTTTAAATGTGGTGCATAAGATCGTCCTTGAAGAATAAACTGGTTTGCTTGTGGCCTGCGGCAGATCGAGGTGCGCAAAGTACGTTGAGAAGGAACTGCAAGCAGTTCTTCATGGCAGCACTTGGAGATGACATTCCACACATGCTATCCTTGTGTTAGACCACCAGCATCCTTGCCCTCCATAGCTGTGCCATGGCTGATAGTAATAATAATGCCTTCAAGAAATTGATTTCTGCAATTATTCAGTGGGTTCGATGCACACTGTTGTCATAGTTAGAAATGAAATCCAATGACTTCCACCACACGTGCCCGGAGCGCAGAATGTGTCTTCCTGCGCCCCATATCAGAGTCACCAAAATCTCCTTACCCCGTCCGTCTACGCTAATACTTTGATGTGATTTCAGCAGGCGCAAAGTTGAGTCGGCCTTCAGCCACCAAATTTTCTGCTGTGTTGTACGCCTGTCAAAGCAAACTCATTTGATAAATCAGAACGCCGACCGTGGCGCAGAGGTGTCTGCCAAATTCCCAAACAGGATAAACGAGGCTGGCACCAGCACGAAAATCAACAGATATTACTCATGTTAAATCTACCTGTCAAACAGAACTGTTCCTAATTCTGCGTCGGTTCTGAATCCTCTAAGCTGCCTGTGACCCCACCGCTTTGGAAAGGTTGCTTCAATCTTCACTCTTGATTTGTCTCGAGCTGTCCAATTCTTTCGTAACTTTTATCGCTAAGCAGATGTAAATATTCCACCAACGATTCGCAAAGCTCCAGATGCCCAAGGAAAGGAGTCAGCGCAAGGTTGTGGGGGTGTGCCAATCAATGCACAAATGAGACAGATTTAAGGATCACAGTGTCTTACTTTCACCCACCTTTCTTGTCTTTCTCCAGGACCAAACACCTACGAGGATGCTGCAGCTTATATCCAAGCACAGTTTGAGAGCAAGAATCGCTCCCCAAATAAGGAAATCTACTGTCACATGACCTGCGCCACAGATACAGGGAACATCCAGGTGGTGTTTGATGCTGTGACCGATATCATCATCGCCAACAACCTCAGAGGATGTGGCTTGTACTAAGCAGCCCGTGTCGTGCCCGCTCCTTCCTTTCTCCAACTTGTCCTCTTCCACTTCGCTCTCCTACTCAACCCGCTTCCTCTGACACTGCTGTGGAAATGATGATGGTAACGATGCTGTTTACTTAAAATAAAACAGAAAAAAAAAAAGAAGACGAAGAAAAATGCAACTAGGTACATATTAGTGAGGATAATTAAAGAAAATATTAGTCATAAAGATATATATTATATATCTATCTATCTATACATATATACACACACACATATATATGTGTGTGTGTGTGTGTGTGTGTGTGTGTATAGATAGATAGATAGATAGATATAATGTTGTTAATTTTTTTTCCCTTGCTCTGGGTTCTCCCCCAATGTTCTCTGGCCTGCTGCCAAACAAACAAAGAAATGTGTTTTTGAAAGGAAACACAGAACTCTGCAGCCTTGAAACCTTCTCGAACAAAGTTAATGAAAGTCTCTGTTCTAATCTAATTTGCTTTTCCGGTGGTGTCGTTTGTTGCTAATGAAACTTTTTCCTTTTTTTTTTTTTTTTGTTACCTTGGATATGGATTGTGTTTTTGTTGATTTTGTCTGTATTTATTACATTAGCCGGTACACAGATTTGTATTCACATTTTGTCTCACCTGACCCATTTGTTGTATATTGTTTTGTTTCTGGCAACAGTAGTGTTTACGTCAGAACATTTTTTGAATAAATATGTGAAAATATCTATCACTTCAAAAATATGAAGAGGGTCAGCCAATCGAAACCTTGGAAAAATACTCAAGACCTGCTGAAAGTGTCAAACACCAATTCATTTAACATTTGTCTTTTGTTTACATTGGCGCGACTTTCCTGTTCCGTAAGCAGTCCTGACAGGGACAGAAAGTGTTTCCTAAAGCTGGCTTTCACCCGACAGCCAATGGGAAGCAGTGCCAGGTGACACATGCAGGTACTGTACTGTAGATAGCAATGCCTTTAGAAGTGAGTACACGTTATAACTACCTTTTCCCACTATTATAACCTCTACCATATATTCTCAGTGTAAGGAATCTCGGTCCTGGTTTGAAAATGGTTGATTAATTTATTCATTTATTTATTGATGATCACATCCTAGCCCAGGACATACTCTTATCTATCGGTCTCTCTTCCTCTACATTTTACACTATACACCGTCATGCCTTTACGTCTTTCACTTCAATCCATGCATGGCACCCTTGGCATACGGCTAATATTGGAGGCGGACCCGGGAGGGGCGGAGGGGGTGAGGCGGTCAGAATAGTCGCCTCTTCTGCCCTCTCTCCCTCCTTACTCCTGTTCAAGCCCTTGACATGTATAGCATGATATGACTCCAGCCTTTGTATAAAGTGAACAGTTACGCCAAAACTGGAAGAAAAGAAAAAAAAAGTTCCGCATACATATTCATATTTTTTAAAAAGTCATTTCAAATGGAAAAGAAACAAAAACACTTTGAGAAAAATATATTGAAAAATAAATCCAATGGCAAGATAAGGGCAGCAGTTTAACGAGAGGGATAGCTGTGATTATTTTCACTTCTTCGGGTCATTTCATTGTCAAGGCAACCGGACTGTTCGGGTTGCCTCAGGTTAGAAGGTGTTTGTTGTGGTCACTTTTTGGCTTTCAGGGGGACGGATAAATACTGTAGTTGTGTTCCCTCACCAACGCTCAGGCGAAAGCTGTCGAGCCTTTGTGTATGAGCTGATGAAGTCCGTTCAGGTCAGAGACAAAATGTCTTGTCAGACGACTGGAACAGTCCAGTTGCGAGCGATTCAATACCCTGCAAAGAAGGAGAAAGATGTTTTGTTATTGGGTGTAACCAATGACTGTCTAATCAAGAATGACAATTAAGGTTTTCAAAAGGGGTGTTCACACGGCACACATTTGCATCGGTGCTGCACCGATGTATTTTGTTGCGATGTATCTTACACCGGTGAAAATTTTGTGGAGCGCTCACTCGTAAAAAGCTGCTTACTAAAGAGAAGCGTGTTAACCCCGGTGCAGCCTCACTCGCGTTCACACAGCAGTTTCTGCAGCCGTGCAATACGATAGTAATAATACAGAAATAAAACATGCGTAAAGTGTACTTCCTTTTCCCCGCCTTGTTTGTGACATACCGAAAAACCATGGTTTTTACTTCTCCAGACAAATCAACGCTGTGGTCTATCAGACACCGTAAAAGGATGAGAGAGAAAGGAAAGATGGTGGAAATACAACAAAGCACGAAAGCAACGCATTCTACGATTCATTCGGCAACAAATACCCGTATGTAATCAACTCTTCTCACGCGTAGCGAGGCTACCCCTGTAGCATTCACACGTCCCATTTTATATCGGTGCTGCCCCGCAAACTAGCATTTACTCCGGAGTCAATTTTTAAACCACCTCCTGAAGCAGGGTTAAATTTGCTCCGGTTGAAGCTGTTTTCAGGGGATACACCAGTATAACTTTGTACGTGTGAACGCTCTACGGGGGGCAGCCCCAGTGCTACATCGGAGTAAAAGTTGCCCTGTGAACACCCCTAAAGATGAATGGTTATGTAGGATGCTGTCGGAAAGACACAAATCATAGATTTTTGGGGGGAATTCTTGCAGTAACATCAATCTGTTTTTTTAAAAAATCAAATAAAAACAGCAAGATTTAAAAAAAAAAGAAAAATCACACCTGTGACAACAATGGAACCGCAGAAATTAACACGAGTATTACATAACGGTCACGGTGATCCTGTAATATTCTACAATATTTCCTGTGCTTTGTAGCTACAGAACTTTGTTTTCCTCTCTCTCTAGCTCCCTTTTGTAAAATAAAATATGTTTTGCAATTGGTTCCAGCTAGAACAGCAAGCAGATTTGGAGCCGCAGTGTTCTCAAAAGACAATGTGTTGTAATGCTTTGAACTGTGCCCCATCTCCCTCTCTCTTGTGACTGTTTTGCCTGTTTGAACGCGTGTCCTCACTTTAGCCTGACTCATAACAATTAAATTATATGATAACAATCTCTATTTTTATTTTTATTATTATTTCAGGAAAAAAAAAACATTCTTTTGGGGCAGAGGCAGATTTCTTGCTGCGTCCACTTGTTGGTGATGCCGCATGTTCACACGTCGCTGTGTATAAACATCCTCTTTTTCCCTCTTCCTCTGTGAGCGATTAGTTTGACACACGCCTTTCAGGTCAACAATGAAAAGCACAGTTTTCATATCACACACACACACACACACACACACACACACACACACACACACACACACACAAAATACGTAAATATCAAAATTTCTTACCTAGCCATGTCTATATGTTAGCCTTCATCGATCTATCTATGTAGCCCTCTCTTTCTTGCAAATGTGTATAATGAAATAATATACCTGTTTTTTTGGCATTCTGTTCTTGATACCTGCATTTGATTTTTTTTTATACTTTTTGTTCTCAAATCAGTGAATACTTTTTTTCTGTGCAGCTTTCACTCTCTCTCTCTCTCTCTCTCTCTCTCTCCTCTCCTCCTTCCTCAATCCC